CTTAAACCCTGACCCTATTTAAGGATGAATCAAACGAAAATTGATACCCTATTTAAGGCCCAAACCCGAAAAATGACACCCTATGGAAGGGAAGAACAAAAACTCAAAATAGCTTGAATGGGTCAACTTTATTTCGTTTCTGTGTGATACCTGGAAGTCAACAACAAGCATATTATGGTAGATTAAGCCTACTTTAGCAATATGCCATCATAAACATGGTAAATCTTTTCTGATATAATTTAGGCACCCTATCTAAGGATCACACCGGGACACTATGCCAACATGGGCAAAAATGATACCCTATTTAAGGATCGAGAACCTCAAAAAACCATACCCTATCCTGCAGCACATACCTGTATAGCCCATATAGGGGAGTAGCCCCCCCGGACTCAATTTGACACAGATAAAGGCAAAAGGCAAACTTGGAATGGCGTATTACTGGAAGGTTTCTTTCTAAAGTTCTGTTTTCTTTTTTAGTAGAATCTCATTCTGGTTAAACAGCTGCAAAAGCAGCTGAACTGGGCTTGATCATCCCACAAGGGGTTCACTTCCAACCGTTGACACAAACACACTTTCTTTTAAAACCCATTTTACAGGACAAAGTTATGCCCTGTTTTTATCAAATCACATGAACATATACCTCACATTATGGTATTGCCAGGTGTTTTTTAAAAGTACAATTTAGTTTTACTTACTATCTTCATCATGATACAAGCCAAAGTTGTGACCCATTTCATGAGCTACGGTTGCTGCTGTAGCTGCTGCACTAAATGAATGATCCTTACAACAAGGAAGAAAAAGAAAAGCTGATTTAATATACACGGTGTTTTAAATCTGTTTGTTAACTTCAGCTAGTTCATTTAACCACTTAAAAATCAATTGACTGAATTCTGTTCCCTCACTTTTCATTCCTTATGATCAACAATTTTCATTGATTATTCCAGCTGTTTAATTCCCATTTATTCATATATTTATTGCATTTTACCATATAATGCTGTATAATCTTTGTATCCATCTTTCTGAGATGGATCTTCAGGGATCTGACTGAGCTAACAGCTAACAAAATGAGAAAACAGCCTAAATTCTGATTATAATGTAAAAATGTACAGGCAGCCAAAATCCTGATTAATAATAAATTAATGTATCTCTGACCTCCTCCTATTAATATTTTACCCCGCCTCAGTGCTTAAGCATTTTGACAGGGGCGTCGATAAGCAATCAATTATGATCGATGTCCATTTGCTTGGATTGTACTAAATAACTTCAAATTATTGCTTGGGGTGTAAATAATACTGTAGGTATGATGTATACCTGCACTACACCACCTGATTTCTCTCCACACATGGCCATTACTGAAGCTTTACCAACAGTGGCACCCTTAAAATCACGGTGCCTGGAAAAAAATGTTCAATCAAAAAATTGTACGTAAAATTACACCTGACAGTCCAATACCCACCTATGGCATTACTGACATGTATAATACGAAAAATACAACAGGGATAGAACCTACATGTATATTGCAATCACTTCTGAATCATTAATTAATATAGTCTCCTCACAGTTCAAGCCACTCCCTTTTTGTCCACAGAAAAGCTTAGTCAGCAACAACAGTCAAGAACCACATTAATACAACCACTTCCTTAACATGACCATATCATTTGGTGGCTCGCTAGTGGCTGAATTAAAAGGGGTACAATAATAATAACCTACAGTTACAAAACAGTTATTATCTAGTTATTCATATACCTGCAAAGCATCCAAGGAACAATTTGCACTCTCTTTAAATATGGAACAATTTTATGTATGGTACATATACATTGGCCTTAATAATTAATACTCACGTTAGCAGCTGTGCATTATCATGATCATATGTCTTGACAAGTTCTTTATTTCTGTATACCATAAAATTATCTAGACACTTGTTTGAGTCCTCGTCGACAACGATTTTATCTGACTGACTCCATATTTCAACAGCTGTTAAAGCCACACGCACATTGAAAGGTCGGAAGAGCTGAAAACCAAGCCAAAACTTTACTACTAACCTAAATTAAAGGAGGAGGAGGAGGAGGAGGAAGAAGAGGAGGAGGAAATTGACAGTGTGTGATAAAATGTGATAAGTTATCAGAATAAGGTAATTTTTCTTTAAAATAGTTTAGGTGCAACTGGTTTTGGAGTGCTTTATACTACCTACTCATACAAATTGGCCAAGCATATAGTATTTGTCCAACCACTATATACAGAAGATTTCGTAGGTCAGGAACTTGTTAACTATCTGGTAAGTCCACCCACTCAAAGGTTCTCTGGAAGATGGGGCTGAAAATACTCAGACTGAATTACAATCAGTTACTTACAGAGTCTACAAGGTTAGCAATCATCTTTGAACGGTATTCTACTGCTGTCTTGTTGCTCTTTAGATCCAAATACTATAAAGAAACATGACATCAAATTAGATCCTACAAAATGATATTACAAAAAAAAAAAGACCATAACAACAAAAATCTACTGTGGGAGTAAGAGGACTTGTAACAGCTTCTATTTAGTTTTTATAATGATAAAAATACAATCAATGTAACCCAGATATTATAAATTTTATGCAAGCATTGTAATGAACATTAATGCAGCATATTAAATATTATATATTGAAAGTTAAGGTAGTCAGGACAGCAACTTTACTTAATTCAGATCATCTTAACCATCAGGTTATGAACAACAATTTATTATCTATAAGTAATATCAAACTTTTAAGAAGATTTCAACAAAGTAAATAATAATAAATTATAAATTTAAAAAAACCACTCTAACCTGACTGTTATCATTGACTAAAAGTAATTCCACAAACTTTGTTTCACTTTCTATGTTTCGTCGTGTCTAGAAACATAAACCAAGGTCAGATAGAATGAGATTGATATCATTCAGCCAGTAATAAAGCATGCCACCAATTAATGATGTCCTGCCTAGTAGTCTTAAACCCACAACCTTTCACACCCCTTGCCAGTTGGACATTTTAAGACATATGGGAACTATGTTGGGTGACCATTATGTGATATTTTAAGCTATTCCTACATGTACTAGGAATAGCAGAATTTGATCAAGATTATATTTCAAGTTCCATTTGCTAACATGAGGTACACAAGATACTCAAAAGGCCTGTTCTTATGAGAAATATAAACCCAGGGCACAACAATTGAGGAAGGGAGTTGCCAAGAGTTCTCACAGAATATTATGACATTTAAGTCTTGCCAAACGAGGAAAACAGTTGACAAAAATCAACTAATCCATGAGAATTTTACACAACTTGAGATCATAAATCAAAATATAAGAGCAGGTACAAATTTGATGGGAGCAACCAAAAGTAGACTAAAATTTAGGGAGAGTGCTTTGGATTTAGCAAGATAATGAGAGCAAGAGTTTGAACTCTTGGCTACTCTTGATCTCCTTTAGAATGATAACTGAAATAATTTATTAAACACTGGATCATTGGTTAATGCAATTCAAGAGTTTTCATCGCCTTAACCATCATGGTATATGAACCATTATACACTATACCATGGTCTACAAATGTGGTAAGCGTACACATGTGCAATTTTTTGGGGCGTTTGTATTTTTATTTCATTTTAGTTTTCAATATTATGGGTGCATTTTACTTAAAACAATTATTCTACTTGCACTTGTTAGATATGAGATTGTTTCTTTAAATATAAAGATATAATTTCTTCAAAAATGTTAGCGCTATTCAACTATACAGTCAACTCACTCTGTGTTTTCTTAATGAAACCAGCTCATCCACAGAAGATGGAATATCAGAATGTTTTACTCCTGTTCAGTTAATTTAAAATTAAATTCATCAGGAAGAAAAAACAAAAGCATTACTCCTAACAAGATAATTCAATAATACAAGGCACTTAACAAGCAAGCAATACCTGCAATTAGAAATAGCCCAAACAAAATAAGCACGCTGATTGGTTTAAAACTGTGTTTCTATAACTTGATAGAAGCACAGGAGCTAGCATGAGCTGTCGACGTAATGATGGTACACATTTTGATAATCAAAGTAATTTAAAAAGTTGCTTTTCTTTTTTTTTTTTGTTACGATGTTTTCTAAAAGAAAGAGAAAACATGTCCTCCGTGTTTCTACGAAATTATAGAAACACTTGTGATAGTTTGGGAAAACTAAAAAAAGCTGTGGAAACACTCGCCTAATGGCTCGTGTTCCCATAACATTTCTTGTTCTCCCAAACGTCCACTCATGTTTTTACAACTTGATAGAAACAGGATAGTACATGTTTTCTTTTTCTTAAATAATGTTATCATAAGGGCAAGGTGAAAATATAAATTAAAGTAATATAAACATGAAAGTGACCTATATTGAGCTGAGAAATAAACATTTTTTTACTGACAGCTGAGATCCGAGATCTGCAAAATGTACTTTTAGCGGAGATATAAGCTGAACAAAGTGGCTGTGAGCCACTGAACTCTGATAATGATTTATTTAAGGCTGAGAGTGCAAGTCCATTCATAGCTTGTGTCCAAATGTAGCTGTCTGAAATTACATCGAGTTGTACAGTCTCCCAGTACTCCAGCCTCATTGAGTTTGTGACGAATGACGCCATTGTCAAACATCTAAACAGATCCAGGAATGCACAAATGAGAAACCCCATTATCCGAGTTAAAATGAGCCTAAAGCAGAGAAAACTGATTTAACCAACATTACTGCACACCATCCAGATCCCCTATAAAGCCACTGGTAACCAGGTCAATATTGAATTCAGTCTGGTCAATTCAAATATAACTCTTTAACTATATTAACTGAAGTAAACAAATGTACAACTAACCACAACGTTTATCACCAGTTCTCAGGTCTTTAGTGCGGTACATAATATGCTGTGTACAAAATCAACAATATATATTTATTTATTATATAACGCATTGACCCGGTCCATTTTAAGACTCTTTGTATTTAGCAATAATTATCATTATTAATAACAGTTAGTAAATAAATGTAAACTAGAACAACATACCCTGTTCATATCACCAGGGAATGGTTGTACATAGTAAGTCTCATTTCCATCGTAAATCGTTCCCCTTAAAAATAAATGCATACAAAAAAAAAAAGTTTAAACAGTGCTTAAATATACTACACTGTATAAAATGCACAATTTTGGAGAGTTGGATTTTTGGATTAAAAAAAAAAACTGGCTAGGCTAACTTCAAAAATTCTCCTGACATAAAAACACAAGCATCAAAATACAAAAAAACAAACATCAAAATAGTATCAGGCTGCTATAAATACCTCCACTGCACTACTGACAGTAAGTACTAAAACAATATGAAATGAAAACCAAGCTCAACAGTATTTATGGGTCCTATTATCAGAAGAAAATAACATTTGATAATACTTTGACAGTAAAATTCAAATCGAAACTCTCAGACTGGTATTCAGTTTCACAACAATTTATGACTAGGAACAAATTTTCAAGAATCACCCACTCAATTCCTTGACATGTGCTGATAACCACAACTGAGTTCTTCATGCCTTGAACAGTTCCTTGATAGAAACAATTTTTGTCATTGCCCTACAAAAACAAACCACAGGGCTGTCATTAAGAGATGTAATCTAGTAACACCGGCAATAGCTAAGTATGCCTCGCAGGCCCTTGATGTCATGGTTGAACTTGCACAACATGGGAGTTTGAACCTCCACTTTCCATACCCTGCTCTACCGCCTGCAGCTTTTTTTCTCATGGCTCCTGTCCACACTTGAATTTAGAAGGTTCAAACTCAAGCCACTTGACCCATGGAAAGGTCTACAAAGTAAGCCAGTTTTCTTAGCCCATGTACAGCTTTTTGTACAACAGAAACAAATTTTCTCTCAGGCATTGGAAGACACTACGTGTAAGTGCAATGAAGTCCTATAACTTTGTTGCAGACAGAATTGTTATTGAACACCATTGCAAAAAAATAAATAAATAAATAATACAAGGAATTCATTGAAGTGTTACACTGTAGTAAATTCCATGTTGTTTTTTTTTTCAGTAAAAGTGAGTGGGCCAAATAAAAATATTATTTTTAATCGATTGCCATATCACGTGGACATCTGCCAGCCCTCTGCTGAACATGGAGGATGGAGGAACTTTATGTCACGTCTGCTAACCACACCTATATATTTTGGTCAATATGTTAATTAACCTTTCCTATTCATAGTTATGACCTCATATGGTTACAACTGAACTGTCGACAAAGAGAAAGACACAACTCGATGTAATGTCAGCATAACAAGGGTGATTCCCTCGCCTTTACAGAAATCATATCGAATGAATGCAAAAAATAAAATGATCATGATGAGGGATGCTTCTGGATGGATTGTAAAATGGATTTTAAAACTCTCGCTAAAACAACAGGAACCTCTAGATACATCTTGTTAAATCGCAACACGATCTGTGGCCATTTGCGTATATTCTCCTGTTTCGCCGCTGTCGTCGGCTGATTAGATTGCAGAAATCGGAAATCACTTAATTTACGCTTTTAAATATCCCTTGCGCGACAAAACAACCGGACACAAGTCTCTTTTGCCAAAATTATCTCAGTCAAACCACGCCAAACCATTCACAAAACCCCTCCTGGTTTAGTTTGAATTGAAACTTATTACAATGCAAACAAATTAAAATTCAAACCTTGAAAACACCCCTGTTTGATCGCGACTATTTTGAGAGATTTTTGGCTTTCAACTATGCAAATATCGGCCCATTTATCTGAAAATCCCTCAATCGCGTTACATTAACAAAAGTCAACTATGGAATGATCAAATTTATCAAGCACAAAGGATGAACAAACCTCATTCTTGCTGATAATTTCGCGACCGTCTGCATCGAAATATCTTGACAAATAATTAGCAGATAGTAGAACGCTGTGGAACAAGAATAAAATTTTGATAAGACGATATATTAAACCCCAGCGGAAACATCACGGAAACTTAAGAGAAGGAAAAAACACTCAGTCCAAGCAGAATATTAAAAAGCTTACCGGTTTTGGACGACATCCAAGACAAAATCCTTGCCGAATCCTCTCACGGAAAAGATCGCTCTTCCAATTTGATCATCCTAAAAGCAAAAAAAATGTAGAACTAGTGAGCTGCAATGCTGGCGAGAATTCTACTCGAGGAAAGCGCCCCGCAAGTAAGTCGATTTTATAACATAGGTGCAATAAAAATGGCATACAAAAAGATATTTAACATCCAAGGAAAGAACCGTAAAAATTTAATTTTACAGACTGATGTTAGCCCACTCACTGAATTCGATTTGTTTGAAGTCTCTCTCTTCCATCGGTCTTGTTGATGCTGATGAAGTGAGACAAATTCGTAGCTTCGCAACTCTCGGTTAAAATTGCTATGTGCACCTATACGTAGTTAAAATGTAAAAATAATTTCATGGTTAACTTACACGGAATACTAAAGAAAAAGAAAATTTTGTGTTTTCTATACCCGAATCCAGAAGAAACCAATATAACTAATAAGACTTACACGGGAAATAAACAGACAAAACAGCGCGCCACACTAAATAAGCTTACCTGCATTCACTTGCAATAAACTCAAGTGAGCGACGAGGACCACACAAGAGATTACAAAAAGATTCATCTTCATTTCTTCGTTTCAACGCGAAGACATGTCCTCCATATAAACGTGACTGGGATATAAAATCATTTGTATATCATTTGCAGCTCATTTCGTCTTCCTTTTCGCCGCCCGTCATTGCCTTACCCACGTACTTCCTGTGATCCGCGGAGTCTGTGATCAAGTTACCGAGCCCACTGTACGATATAGTCAGAGGATCGAGTAAACTACCCACTGTCTGGGAGTCGGGTTAGGATATTTTTGTTTTGTTTTGTAGCAGCGTAGCACAAAATGGCTTCTCTTGGTCATTCGAAACTGCACGAAGATCTTCAGGCAGCATTTTTACGTTACAGAGAAGGGCGATATGATGCTGATTTAGACAGTAAGGAACTTAACGTCATTCTTTGATCTCTTACAGTTTACGGAATCAAGCTTTCCCAAACTTACTGTGTTTGCTTGAATTTATAGAGAGGATAAAAGAAGAAGGAGAAAGGATTCTAAAGGAAAATGCACCGGGAAGAACTTCTCGCATAAATCCTCATTCTATATTTTGGATGGTAGCAGCTATAGCTGTATTCTATTACACCGACTTTTATATTGCGGTGAGGTTTGATCCAAGAATATATAGGTAAGCGAAGCGAGAATATGTTGTAAAAGAACAGTCACTACTAGTAAGACTTAAATCAAGCACATGCTTGGGATAAGCCAAGACAGAGCTCTCAAACTGCAAAGTTCTCACAGTAAAACGGTTGCTACCAACGTCTTAACCTCAAAGTAGTACATTTGTACTATGAGCAGTTACATCACATCATTTAAGCTTATTTGAAGAGCCTATGAGAGCTTCCCTTCCCGTCCTCTACTAGGGTGGTTTGTAACCAACAATCCAATTAGCACGTGAAAGAAGGAAAAAGAAATAACTATTTGTGGTTTCATTCTTTTCAATGCCAGTGCTGATTTATACTACTCTTCCAGTTGACTGCTATACCACAAATTTTCACCCTCTTTGGGGTGATTCAACACATGTAACACATGTCATGGTTGGCTATCACATGATCACTTTTATTGGTGAATCATGTGGTTAAAACCTGTGTGATGATGAGCTTGAATCATCTTTAACGGTTGTACTGTAGTTCACCAAATCATGTGATGTAAACAAATTATGTAGTTCATGTGGTGCAGCCAGAAATACAACATGATACCTGGGCAATCACTATGAAGAGGGCAAAAATTGGGTTTTGTGATCTATTGTGGACTAACAGGGTCAGAAAGCATTTATTTGCTGCCAAAAGCACCTAAGTACAAGAAAAAATAAAGTAAGTCATTTCAGTGCTACTGATGACCTCAGCACTGGAGAAATTATCTGAAAGACTTTTTTTTTCATTTTTCTTCAGGATGTGGCTGTATATTGGAGGTGCCCTGATTGGAGTAAACTTGAGCATTGGATGTTACTGTGTCTTATGGTTGAGTTACTACAAGAAGATCACAGACTGGGACAAACATTCTCCTTACCTCATTCCTATTGCCACAGCATCATTTATTGCTGGTATGATTTGGTAAGGTTTACTTGTCTGGTATTAAGAAATTTTAGGTAGTGTATCTTGAATAGGACACCATCATTCAAGGGAAATTGTGTACAAAAAGTCCTAGTGGTCAATAGGAAACCCTTAATAACATCAACTGACATACATACAGTGTAATTTCCCTTCAGAGGAAGGGTTTTCTTCAGAGGTTAAATACATTTAGAGTGAAGGAACTGTAATTGAAGGGGAAGTTCCTGTTTAACAGTAGCTGATCGAATGTTCCCTAGCTACACTGTAGTAACCTAATAAGTCTACGGAGACCAGTGCAGAGAAGTGGTTTCCATGGAAGGAGTCTTTATATGTGATAAGCATTTTGGCAACTGTTTAGGGTGTTGCAAGTAGATCATTATTATTATTGCTTTGAACTTCTCATGCATTCGTCATCATGTCAATGTCCTTTTTTTCCTTTCTTTTTTTGCAGCTCAATTTATTCATTGTGGCCAGTGTGGAAAATCCTGACGCCTTTCATCACAGTCACACTATTCATGGGAGTGGTCTTTTTAGCAACCTTAATACCAGTATGAGTTAAGAATTATTATTCTGCCATTAGAATGTGACAACATTTTTACTAAAACAAATGATCATTGATAATAACACCAAACAGAATGTAGTTTGGTTATTTAGTAAAAAAAAGTTCTGATTATTTTGTAAACTTCTCTGCTTTTGAACATAGAGCTTAACTTCTTCACCTTCACTTTTATGCTACAGCATGTTTCATTTGAGTTTTATTTTTTGGCATTACTTGAGTTTCATGAATCAGATAGTGTCCCAGGGAATTGTATTATAATTCAAATGATCACCAAGAAGGCTATGATTCTCATTAAGTGAAAAGAGAGGAATGAACTGCTGTTTACGGATTACCTGTTAAAACTTTTCCTATTAGAGTTGACATAGAGCAGGCGGGATTTAAGAAATGTAGATTCAATCATTTATCAGTTATTAAAGTTCCTAAATAATTGAAAACATAACATGTTTTTCTTCATTTCTTAATCGCGAGAGGTGTAAATGCAGTTTAGTTTTTCAAGCATTATAAACTTGCTCGTTCCATTTCATTATTTGTATTTATTTGTAAATATCAAGACTGGTTTATTTAACTGGTTTTCTAACATATGGAACAACATCATCCATTCCTTTGCATTGACTGGGTGACGTTTGGTCAATAAATGTTTGCATGAATAAAGTAAACGGTTTTTAAGACTTGTATCACTTTGTGTATGAATGAGGATAAACAACCAGTTGCATTAATTAAAGAATACAGCTTTTTCTGATTCTTTTGTCAATTATTTTGTTGCCACTTTTTGTACCTTTGAAAATGTTCATACGTTCAAATTTCGGACAAAAGGAAAGCTCTTTGCATTTACATTTTCTTGCATCAGCCATTGCATCAATGTAAAGAGCGATAGTGCAATACTATAGTTTGACATCGTATTATCATCTCTGTCATCTTCAAGACTATTCCACTTTCATCTAAATGTCAGATTTTCAAATTCTTTACACCAGCATTTCCTGATCAATTTTTGAACACAAAATGGAAAACGGTGGCTGGAAAATCGTCTGCAAGCAATAATAAAATGTTCACCAGAAAAGCCCCGGCAAAACTTCAAAAAAGTTTGTCGAAGTTTAAAGTGTGCTAGAAAAAGTTGTGAAATTTGTCAAAGTTAATTACTAGAACATAGAAGATTCACCAGGATGGCAGTCACGATTCATATGATGATCTGTAATCCACTTCCATCTTTGAAATCCTGTCGGATTTCTCCCAAAAAAATACTTTCTCTAGATACCATGCTCCTAGAAATGGTTCTATCCAATTTATTTTTATATTCTCTGGGATTTGGCAATATAATCTGGAAATTTGGAAAGAGAACTTACAGTCGTCAACCGGGACGGGATTACTTAAGGGAGCTGGGAGAGACACGACAAAAGATGATCTGTTTTATTTGCAGTCTAGCGCAAGGCATATCGTATTTGATTATTTTCTGACCCATTATCTTCATAGCTGGAAAAAGGTTTTATGCTCAGCGCTTTTATCTTGCAACTGCTCCTTTCAATAACCCAGGTAAAAAATAAAACTGAAGACACTGCTTTCCGCAAAGATTCGTCGACTGAAGGCAAGTTGCCTAGCTGACGTTTTGTGCTACAATGGGGGCTTGGTACGATTTCAGTAGATCGAAATCTTTTTTTAACATTGAAATTTACCATGCTACAAGGGAAGAAGATTTGCAGCTTGATCTTTCCTAACCTACAGAACAGGACGATTAGCGGGGACGAATCGCGATATGCAAGCAAGCGCGCGAGAACGTGCGCGAAGCACAAGACGAAAAAATTTGGGTGTGACTTGGTCGAGCAGACTGCGCGACTAGAGTAAAGCCGGATTTATCACGCTGTGCTGGTTCGTGCGTTAATTATTTGTGATTGTACTAAAGACTTACTGAGTACATAATGTAGTCCCAGGAAAGTGTCTTAGACAGATGCTGGGAGATAAGGTTAACATGACGGGGAAAAATCCGTGCGTTAATTATTTGTGATTGTACTAAAGACTTACTGAGTACATAATGTAGTCCCAGGAAAGTGCCTTAGACAGATGCTGGGAGATAAGGTTAACATGAAGGGGAAAAATCCGCAAATCCTCGCTATTAACTTACAGTTGAGTAGATGTAACGCATCCGGAAAATCCGCTTGGATGAAAATAACAAACTGTTCATTTGGCAGTTTCATCCCTTACACGGATAAAGACTGAAGCCTTGGCAGCGTATCAGCCCAATATGGCTTTGTCAGACGGAACAGCGGAACAAATGGTTAACCTCGAGTCACATAGAGTAGAAAGCTGTTTGCTGTAAGGAAGTGGCGTTTTGTTGCGCTCTGATTGGGTGATTATCACTCAGTTTGCTTATCGCGTGAGCTAATGTAGCTATTTACTAGTTTGGTTAATTCATCTAAAGGAGATTATTCATCTTGGTTAACGACATCTGGTTAACCAACAGGCCGTTTAAATTGCCATGTATGGTTTGGCTCGGTGGATAGCTCGGTTGAATAGTATTAAGCCGCTCATAAAAAAAAATGAAAGCCGCCAATCTTGCTTTAATACAGGAAGGCTTAAACCCTCCTGAAATAACGAGATGGTGTTCCTCATTTGTCACCATCGAAAGTCCTTCCGTGCAGACTACGGGAAATGAGTTTTCAGTTTTTTTCAGCAACAAAAAAATAACAGCAACTTCTGATTGAAGATTGGAAAAATAAGGGAGTTATGATGCGATACATTTTTGAATTGTACAAGGCAACGTTGAAATGGAAAAGCAGTAGATCATTTGGCTGAAACAAGCGATTAGTAAAACAATTCAAGCGTAGCAATCAGACGATTAATTTCAAAATCGGCCGAGGGCCCCCTCTTCAAGGCATTGTGGTGAAATAATCAGCCGCCGTCTTTTCCCCTACAGATTGTACACAAGTTGGTCCCAGATCCCATTCCCTCACGTCAAGGGCTCAATTCACTGTCCCGTCCCAGGCCACAATCAACCAAAGAGTTTTTCGACAATGAAAACACTTTAATTTTGCATGTCCGTACAAAAATACCTTTATTATCGAGCAGCCAAAAAATGTACGTCAAATATCTGCTGAATACATATTATGTTGAATAACAAAGCAGAAAATATACAAACCAATGCAAAGAAGGCTCTAGTTATGCTATTTACACCCTGCCATCATCTCGCTATAAAACCATGTTCTGTGAAAAAAAACTAAGATTCCATATTGAGACCCATCTTCTGCGATCAGGTGTTCTCACAGCTACCAGAAAACTTGGAATTCAGTTCGAGAGTTTTCATTAGTGTTTGCTCAACCTTGATCACGAGAATAAATAGAAAAGTTAAAAACACTTAACACTCCTCTAATAGCGTATAAACCCATCACTACTGTCGACATCAAATAATGTTCGCAATCTCTGGGAGCCTTTAATTTCTATTTCACTACGGTTTAACACCGTAAACCGGCGACTTGATCATCTCGTGTGTATCACAAACTCACTGTCAAAGAGACGATTCTGAAAATAATGTCCATTAAAAATGACACAATGATGAAATGCAACGATCAAAATAACACTCAACCGACTACTAGTAATTAAGTATGACGTTTACGGTTTAAAGAAACGACTTTACAAGCTACTGTAGCAGTATGAAAGAAAATCATTATTTGATTGGTTCACACTATGAAATAATATCTACATGTTTAGATGCTATATCGCGGTAAAAGTTCTCGGCGAAAAAACCTGAACCCCGTTTTTACTTTGTTTCACGTGTTGCACTGTACAGTATGACAGAAACACGATACAAATCTATTACTTGGAGTTCTTCGAGCTTTTCTATACAATAGTTACAACTAAATCTCCGACAAACACTCTCAAGTAGGGCAGAAAAAAACACTAATGGCTCAACGGCAATACTTTGATTTCAGACATTAGACAATATACTCTGATTATATTCTATAAATCGCACTAAAACCTAATGTTTGGTGCTTTCTGTGGATAAAATAATCATGCTTGGATTAAACGTAGATGTATGATGAAAATTTCTTTAAAAAAAAGACAATTACTTGTTTATATTGAACTAGTGGACACATCACACTGAAAAATAGAGCCCACAATCGCGGTAATTTGGTCAGTAATGTTGCTTAGTAACCAGTTTTTGACTAAATAACAAAACAGAATTCCATGAGCACGGTTCAGAGTACTGCATCATTTTCCATCCGTCCCTCGGTTGAGCTTTGCTCGCGTTCGTAATGTTTAAGCGAGTTGAGCGCGTCCTTGACGGCATGGTAGATGATGTTTTTCACCTGCAAAGAAAACACAGACTTCTCAAATTTAAATCTGAGGTCCGGCAGACCAAAGGAGAGAAAAATACATAGCGTTAAATTCCATAGATATTTTATGACAAAATGCTACTCGGCGAAGCAGCAATCTAATAAGAAATATGGGTCAGAACGCAGGTGGACTACAATCTGTACATCATTATAACAACTCCCAGATCAGTCGTCCGCACAACCGTTGTACCATGTAACCGACTTTCACAAATAACGTCACAAATAGCGCAGCAGTAACTGTCGAGTACTAGTGCAACACGTGACCACGTTTGCAAAGCCAAGTCAAAATGTTTTCGCACTAGAAACTACAACGATCGAAATTCACAACAATTAAGCTGTGGCAAGAATTGTTTAATAAACGATCCTGTTGGAGCTCGATTTCCGCCGCCCTCTCAAGTCCGGTCTACGATCCTCTTTACCGAACAGCAGCTGGTGATGGAGCTTGTACGGAGAATGAAGTGACAGGATTTACCTGAAGCTTGTCCTCATGGTTTGTGTGTTTGTCTGACAAGTGACGAAACTCCTGAGTCATCCGGAAACAGTGATCAATACGCTAAAAAATCAAACAAAACAAGCCATTAGAATGCTGATGTGTTGACTTCACGTCGCTATAACGTCGTCAAAGGCATGACTAAGAATCGACAAACGAACAACGACAAAATCTGCTGTTTCTTATACAGATCATACCTCGGGAGACACAAAGTCCTCGGCCACCTTCACACAGCTATACAGATTTCGCACCTGGAAGCAGACGTAACTCGATCACTGACTTGATTATTAATGAAAAGTTATCTTAAATGGAAAGAAAAAGTTACATGTCCTCCTACGTGTAGTGTCTGATTGGTTATTACTGGGCCTTGTTTTTTGACGCGCAAGCAGCAATTTATCAGCGACAATACAAAGATCTGTATAGAGCTGCGTCATCATGAGGAATCCCTCCGGTCAACTCTTAAACGTCTTTCTGGAGGGTGTTGCTAAGCAACATGACTATCCTCCCATCCCCTCCCTTCTGTGTTAGTCCATCGAATATCACTCTTTGTTAGAAAGCCTTTTTAGTTCGTCGGTACCCATATGTACACCTGACTGGAGTGTCTTACTCAAGAATAACAGAGGAGGACCCTAAAAACACGCCAGCGAAGACATCCCACGGATTCCTACGCATCAACCATTATACCACCGTCGGACTGAAACTAGCTCGCAATGGAGGCTTATGCGGGCAAACATCATGAAAAAGAGATTACTGAAATTAACATTCGAATAGACTCCCCGCGTAAGCCTCAGTTGCAAGCTAGTCCTAGTCCACTACCGAGAATACGAAAAAGGTCTATGTTTCACACTCGTTCTTTCCTTTACCAGAGAACCGCTTAATTAGGTGTGAGTAAAATAAACACAAGATACCTGATGAGGCGCTCCAGCTGGAATGAAAACAGAGTCACCTAAACACTGACAGATGGCCCAGCCCTCCACTCCATACTCCTTCTTTAGCCGCTGCCTGATGTCATGATCCAGATAAAAACACTACACACAAAAAAGAGCAGAAAAATTGTCAACAGCCCCCCAAAGATTCACCAAACAAATTCTATAAATTCAATACAGTACTTCCACATTGGAGGAGGTTTTGAAAGGACCTTTTTTCAATTAAAATAAGCTCATCTTATCTAGAGATAGAGGTTGACAGAAGGCAAAAGCATATAAGGTATTCCCCCTCCCCTCCTCTTCTCTTTCTTGACAAAAGCTAATGAGTGAGTAGTGCCTTTCAATTTCCTACCGGTAATATTATAGTTAAAAGATCGTTGCATGTACCTGGTCATGTATCGGGTCATGATGAGCGGAGTATTTCATCTTACGTTCTTTGGCCACCTGAATAAGAAAAAAGAAATCAATTTTCTCTACGTGCGAATAAAATGGTTGCTGCGTAGTTCTTAAAACAATCTTCCTCGAGCCGAGAACTCCTTGAAATCAACATAACATCTTCATGGACTTCCCATTCCTATCATCCCACTAAAAAACAGAAGAGTTCCCCAAATATCCACTTGATTCTTGAAGGGTATGGTCGTAGCGAGGTTCATCTAGGTTCATCTTTTCATATAGTAAATGAATTTGTAATGATATATTTGTAAACCCTGATGAATTTTTACCGTGTCTAAAGAATGATCAAAGATTAAAGATTTAAAGAGCTTGACAGCAAAAGGATAAAGATACCAACTCACCGCGCGGAGGCAGTCCCTGATTTTGTCGGCATCTTCAGCGGCATAGATGTGCCACAGAGCCCCCTGAAAGAAAACCACGCACAACATTGAAATTACAAACTATGCTGCAAATAAACTATGCTCCAGGCAGAGAAAAAAGCAAAGATTCCTTGGTACCGAAGCTTACGGTACCTTTAAGTACAGTAGTGTCAGAGATTCATAAGAAAAACGCGGAAAGTATGTCGGAAATCTCGATAGAAAGGAACGAGTATAGCTTACTATTCTGGCGGTTTCTTGGCGCACGCGTCTTCTCTGTGATTCGTCGCAAGCCTCATCCACTGCTTTTATGGCGTCTTAAAAAGAGGAACATGAAATTTGTAACGACAGAGGAAAAAATGCAGTGTAATAAACTCCACAAAATAGATTTCAAATCATACCTTGTCTTTCTTTGTCGCCAGCACCTTGATCTTTTGGAACACCGACGTAAACCTACGACACAACAAACTCTTTATTTCCATTGGCACACAATATAGAAATAACTTATGTGACCAGCATATGATTTCTTATCAAAATATAATGAAGCTACAAGAGGCATGAAAGTCAAGAGAATAAGGACACTGATCACTTGAGTAAATTAGCATAAATACTGCTTCTGATATAAAGGCCATATCAATGAGGAGCAAATTTTGTCTGGAATTTTACAGTTGTCTAGAATTCAGAGTGGGCAAATGTTTTAACTTTATATGGAACGCGTGAAGGTGCATGACGCAAAGATAGATGCAGAGTGCAAGTGAAAGATGCAAAGACGTGACTGATCGTCGAAGTTACCACAACAGATTACTCTCAGTGGTGTGCTTTGCCTCTAACCAGCCTGGCTTCTCACAAAGTTACTGACAAATAAACCTCTGTGACTACTAACCATGATGTTGACAGCATCTGACATGTCAAGATGAAGGTTCGTCGTGCCTTCCTTTGGACAAGCCGCGGAACCTACAATTAAAAAGAAAACAAAAACGAAAATCACCAAACCATAACACTCAGTATTGAAAATGGAGCACTTGACTATCGCTTAAGCGATGACCACAAAGCCCATGAGTATCAACATTACCCAATCATAACGTGAATAGAAACGTGTACCAGTCACCTGATTCACTCAATGCCAAGAGCGGGAAAGGTCACGTGATTGGAATTTTGTCTCGGATTTCGAAGTAGATAACTGTGATTTTCGCTCTGATTGGGTTCTAGCAAGTTGCAAGGGTTTTATGAAGCAACTGCTAAGCTCAAACAACGCAAATGCGTATCTCATCTGAAGAGGCTTGCAAATACCAACAAACATTTATGGCGATGAAAATGACAAACTAAACCCTTACCATATGCGTTGTACATCTTTGGGCCCAGATCCGGTTTGACAAAGAAGTCTGGTAACCTTGAGAGAGACAAAACAGTTATCGTTTTCCAGTAACTCTTAAGATGTCACAAATTTGCGGCGAGAGGACACAGTATGACAGACTAGTCGATAATGCCCTTTTTACTCAAGAAAAGTTATCATGACGGAAAAGGAGATTTAGTGTGAACGCCAGCGACATCAAACAAGAGCTTCCACGTACCTTGAAACTAAATTTCTTGAGCCGTCCCGTCTGGTGTATTCTGGTAACGGCACATTGTTCATCAGATCTTCAAACCTGTAAAGATTAAGATATGGACATGAGCGAAATTATGTGATGAACACAACAATGAACATGTTTGCTATTTTGCGATAAATAAAAAATGCACGATATAAAAACAATTACCGGGTCGGTAACTTTTCACTGAAGTCGTCTTTGGGCGGCCAGTCCTAAAATAAAACAAGTGAAAATATATCAAACAGAAGATATTTCGTATTTCGCAATGCACAAACCATATGGCAACGCCTTAGACAATGATTTCCCAAAGATAAACATGGAGTTCTCCTCGCACAAAAGCGATGAGACGAGAGGAGAGAATCGTAGTAACGCCAATTGCCTTTTATAGCGGGACGGACAAGAAGACTAAGACACTGTTTTTACAATGATGCACTCTTGAATCATATAATTAAAGAATATATTTACCTTGAGTTTTAATAACATCGGTTCGCCATTGCCATCCAAAGGACGATCTAATTGGAAAGGTTTGTAACCTGGTTAACAAGGGACAGCAGCAGCCACAACAACCGCAAATTCCTCCTTACTTATTTTGAATAATAACTGACATTTTTGTTAGCAGTATTATGGTAAGTAACATACATGTGTAGAGTAAGTAGTGTGTTATGAATGATTTATTTCAAAAAGGTTTAATAAACTTATGACGCAAACAAACCTTTTATGCTCTCAAAACCCTGCCAGAAATCGCCAACTTTAAACCGTTCCACCACCACGCCATTTCTACAGTTTACCACATCGGATATTTCATCGCCTGAAGAGGAAACAATAATACATGTTCATTTTTCAATCTTGCATAAAAACAAAAAAAACATTGGGGAAGTAGCTACCCATAGCCATGACATCTTATTCTACTGCTAACTTTTATTCTTTGCACAAAAAAAGCCGAACTTTTTCAGTGCTATCTTTCTTAACATTTAACATTCACATTCAAGTAGTTTTATTGCTGTGGCATTCAAGAGAAAACTTACCAAACTCTTCGCCAAATGATTTTGGAGTCCAGATGTCCAGATTCAGATATTTGTCCACTTGGCTGACCAGAACAGGCTGAAAACAAAAACAAAACAATCGTGAAACGTTCGGAAGAGTTTTGGATTCTACAGTATTACCCAAAAGCGGACGGCTCCGCTGCTCATCGACTTTGTTTTTGTGTTCGGGTCTCTGTTGTTCAAAGAGTGGATAACGGGAAAAGTTGATATCTAATGGATAACCTGTTAACAACCACTCTCTCCAGTGAATACAGTAACCTGTGAGTAACATAACCTTTCTTTTGAAAAAGCAGCAAAGCTGGAGACCGAGTGTAACTTTAAAAATATCAGTTACAGTTTAAATCACTTAGTTATGTGACACTGGGCTGTTAGACGTTAGACAAGCACCCTTATCTACATCCCTATACCCTACCCATCCAAAATACACAGGCTCACACGCGCGAAAATGAATGTCTGGATGTTTGGTGTTGAAAACCACTTGGAAAACTTCCACGACTCAATAACGGGCAGCTCTACCAATATAGACTGAGACAAATACCTCGCCCTTTTTCCATCGAGACTCGAACGCTTTTATGTTTCCAGGCGCCCTAGGATCGTGTAGTCTCAGCAAGCGGCCATCACACAGCCATGAATGTGGTACACCCGCGCAAGCATCGGCATCCAACGAATCAGGGGTGGATGGCACTGTATGCTGTCGCACCTCAACCGAGCTCTCAGCACTGGTCGGTTCACTGGGTGTGGCAACTGGGACAGAAACTGATAACATGAACATGGTTAGCATGGAAGACGCGAATGAAAGGGCAGCAAAACGTGCACTAATCGAGTTCTAGATCTGTACTATAAGATAGGAAGCCAGTCTTTCTGTCCAAGTGTGACGCGCGAGCGCCTTAAGTTGACGAGACAAAGCGAAGACCCGTATCTTTCGGTACGGACCTAAACCACGACGTTAATAATATGTGTAACAAATCTCTCACTCTCGGGAAAGAACAGTATTTTGAGGTAACACCTGAGAGATGGCGAAGAAGACAAACGGTTCCAAATCCAACCCACTTAGCTTAATATAACTATTACCATTTCTAATCTCCTTGGTTCCTTGCTTGCTCTGTGGCGCTGGCTTTGGTTTTTCTACTTCCTTTTTGCTCTCAGTGTTCAAACTGATGCTGTTAAAATACTCTCCATTTCTCTCACAAGCGAGCACAAGCAGGTCAAGACCACAGAGACCACCCCCGCCCAAGGAAAAATTGAACATTCCAGTCGCAGGTTTAACGTCTTTGACGGGCGAGTCGCAAGGGGAGGCCTCCGCTGATGAGTTGTAATCCATAAGAAGACTCAAACCCGACGAGACCTTCTTATCTCTCTGCGGCTTGGCTTCAACTAAACCGAATCCGGCCTTTTTGGTGAAGTGGTTCCGTCGTTTTTCCTCGGTTAGCCACTCTTGTTCGTGATCCGCCGGTGATTCTACGCCTAATTTTTCATCGCAGATCAGGTTCACATCGTCATCAAAGCTAGATTCGCTGTCCGCTGCACCACCAGTTTGGTTTGAAGAAGCAATAGACGAGGTTTCCGTTGTCACAGTGGAATTACTTGCTTCTTCCCCACTAGCAGTGACGCCATTGCTTCCATCCTCATTGGGAAGTTCAGTTATTTTAGCACCAGATTCATTGTTGTCCTCATCGCCACCAACTGACTTACAAGGACATGTTTTGCCAATCCTCCAGACGTCTCTTGCTCTATGCAGTTCGTCGCCAAGGTCAGACAAAACTGTGGAAGGTTAAAAAATGGCAAGTGTAATTTTTATTCAACGAGGCAGCTAAATCAAGAATTAAATCAGTAAAGCTCTAATCTAACGATACGTTAGGATACTTTTGATCCATGTATTCCTGCAGGCCACGTCTCTTTGGTCTAATAAAAGTCTCAAGCTTATTAGTTTACGAGCGACCAACATTTTATTATGCGTCCGTGTAGACTGTTTCAATTAGAATATTTTCCACCACACGGCATTAAAAGAGCGATAAGAGTTAACAATACTTCATATTTATTTTTGGCTTGCAGTAGGCTACGAGCATACAAGGTCAATAACCTAGATATTTACCTGTCTTAGGTATAATCTGAGCCACTGACAAGTACTTTGGTTGATGACAAATTCCCGGACAGCACATAACCCATTTGAACTCGAACACTCGCTTTCCAACAAGGCCTGTAGACAAGAAAGAAAAACGTGGCTAAAGGAATGACAGGGGTTAATAGCTCTTACATACACCTTACTGGGTCTACACAGAAGGAATCTATAGAATTCTTGTTTGGCACGTGGAAGTTAGTTTTGCTACGCCCATAAAGACAGGGATGCAGTGGCACAGCAAGCCCTTCCCCTGCCCCTTAACAAAAAACAGACGTTGTTGTTTATGGTGGTCAGTGCGCTTATAGCTACACCTTGCTGGTTCACAGGCATGCCCAATTTAACTGAAATAAACAAATACTATGATATCTACTAAACATAGTAGGCTTAAAAATCTCAACTTGCGGGAGGCAGA